TAAAAATTAATAAAAATTAATAAAAATTAATAAAAATTAATAAAAATTAATAAAAATTAATAAAAATTAATAAAAATTAATAAAAATTAATAAAAATTAATAAAAATTAATAAAAATTAATAAAAATTAATAAAAATTAATAAAAATTAATAAAAATTATTAAAAATTATTAAAAATTAATAAAAATTAATAAAAATTATTAAAAATTAATAAAAATTATTAAAAATTAATAAAAATTAATAAAAATTAATAAAAATTAATAAAATTAATAAAAATTAATAAAAATTAATAAAAATTAATAAAAATTAATAAAAATTAATAAAAAGTATTAAAAATTGTTAAAAATTAATAAAAATTAATAAAAAATATTAAAAAATATTAAAAATTATTAAAAATTAATCAAAATTAATAACCCACTATATAATGCAGTAGCCAGTTGGTTCTGCATATCAGGAAAAAGATTCAGGACCAAAAAGATTCTTGAAATTATTATTGCCAGAATTTGTTACAAAATCCCCTCCCTACAAAATATTTATTCTATTGGGTCATTACTAATAAATAATGAATTATTTTATAGGACGCCCAGTATATAGAAACTGATTAGGGCACCTTCTTAATGCTAAAGAGATTTTTCAGTTATTATAGTCAGTTTTCAATAATTTTATACCTCAAAGTAAATTGCTTACATAACCTCAAAATAAACATTTGGAATCGTTTTTATTTAAAACTGAAAGTATATCAGAAAATAAACCAAAAACTCACTTACCCCACAAAAATACTACTGAAGAACAACAAAACACCACTTAAAACAACGAAAAAGATCAGTTTTTAGTCTCAAACGAACACCCAGCACCTGTGCTTACAACTAGAATATTTGATGTAGTAAAATGTTATGAGAGGACATTTCACGATATATTTTGATTTTTGCTGGGACAGCACGCCTTGTTGCCCATAACTTACTATGTACTAAGGCGCGGCAATTCACGCTTTGGCTTCTGTGGCGTCTCAAGGTTGGACGGCATATCGCGCTTTGACCCTGCACATAGCGCGGCATATGCCGCTTTGTCCGCGAACGTGTTAATTAATACAAAATCGATTAGAGACTTACTGTTTAGTAACTTTTTGTTGGATACCATAGCTTGAGGTAAGATTCTTAATTTTGTTAACATAAAAACTTGATGGAGAATGGTAAAGACATCCCACAATCCAGACTGCTAATGAATAATTTATTTTTACTAACGTGCACCAATAATTTTTTTCCAGAACATATGATTTAACAATTGAGCAACTATAACATTTTTTTACATACATTACAATTCCTCCTGTATGTCGACTTTGGGCATCACAGCGGATACATTTGTAATTTTCTATATTTATTTCATTATTTTCAATATCTGTTGTTGTTCTAGTTTCGCTTAGTAACAATACTTTGGGATTAAAGCAAATTAGATACTTGATCAAAATTACTAATTAAACTTTGAGCATTGACATAATTAATATCAGAAATTAATGGTATATTTCGATTAAATAGTCCGCGAATTGAACCACTTTTTCATTTTGAGTCATATCTTTTGCAAAATCAAAAGCAAATGCATCTCCTACTTCATCTAAATGTAAAACTGTAAGTCCAAATATATGGTGTAACCATTTTCCTATCTCACAGACAGGATTTCGATATTCTTTTGATAGGCCAAGTTGAAGTATTTTTCTATACTTATAAGAAAAATTATTTTGTTAGTACACATGGTACTTTTCCTCAAAGATCTTTCTATTTTTTATATAATTTATTTAGTTTTACTATTTAAAACCTCTATTAACTTTCTCCAATGAGTATTGTATAGGCCCCGTATTGTATTATTATGAAGAAAAAACTATTTCTACTATTATACTCTACCCATTTAACGTACACCAATGGATTGATTTACATAAAAAATATTTCTTAGTAAGTACATCTTAAAAATATCCTACTAGATCATCGGTTAGAGTACTCAAATCGCAAATTGATGGCTCATCCAATGTATTAAGTTTTAATTAAGTTTACAAACAAAAGAATCAAATAAAAAAAAATAAAATTACAACTACTAAACGCGCAACGCTCTACACCAACAAGGCATGTTAAATATGATGGTAAAAAACAGAGTAGGTAATTTATTTTTAATATTTCAATTTTGTTTTAAAATACCGATTAGCTGTATTACAACAACCTTTCTAATGAAAATAGGCGTGTACAAAGAGTAACTTTCCGCCTATGTGCGGAAAATAATGTCAAACTGACAATTCACGGAAAACGTCAACTTTCGAGTTAGAATTGAATGTGGAAAAGTCTACTTTGGATAGTAATCGTAGAAAATAGTTATTTTCCTAACAAGTGCGGAAAGACACTTTACGCATGAGTTAGGAACATTATTTTTTCTACGACCGTATATACAAAAAAGTAGGAAAAATTATTTTATTTCAACATATACAAATCTTTAAATAAAAACAACTAATTATTAGGGATATTAATGTTAAATACACAATTTGTAGCATTTTGTAAATTATGTAAAATTGCCGGTACAGAGGAATTAGTTGGTGTTAATTGGCTGTTAATAGTCGTAACGCTCGTAGATTGAAAAGATGACGTGGACGGGAGTGACATCGGTTGCAGGTCGCATGAAGGTGAAAATGACGGTGGCAGCAAAGGTTGCAAGTCATTTCTATTTGAAAGAATTTTATTCGAAATGTTTTTCTTCTATGTTTCGGAGTCCTCCAAATAGCCTTCAGCGATAGTAGTGGACTTCCAGCCACCGAGACGTTTTATATTGGTTATCGCTTCACCTGAGTCTGCTAGGAATGTTGCTGAAGAACGTCTAAAACTGTGTCCTTTATATCGTTTAGGATTAGGTAGACGCAAATATGCAGCAATCTCTGTTGGCATCTTACCAAAGGTGTTTACGCCAACGCACTGAATTGAGCATTTTCCCTTCTTATAATTAATAAAAAAGCGGCGATGCGGAGTGGTAGGTGGTCGTAAACCTGCGTACTTTCTGTACAGCTTCAGAAAGTTTCCATTATTTATTTCTTCGCATAAAACAAATGATCTTGAAGAATGATTTTTGGAATCGGAAATTTTCACAACTATCAGATTGCCTTTATCATGTATATCATCGAGAGTGATATTTACAAGCTCCGCTCTGCGGAGAGCACCAGCTAAAGCAAAAATAATAAAATAAGGTATACCTCATCAGGGGCTAACATAAACCTGGATATATCTTCTTTGGTAAAAACCTGCGCCTTCTGTGCTCGATAACCAACATTTTTTGTTTTAGAAATGACGTTAACTTATGGAACTGGCTTATATCCAAATTTTGTTTTATTTTTACTAAACTTTTCACCATCGAATAGCGAGACCATAAAGTATTAAATTTCAAAAACTTACTTAGGTGCGAAAAATACGCCAGAAACACCTCTTCTTTGTAGGTTTTTACCCCTTCCTGTTTACACCATGTGACAAAATGATCGTATTGTTTTTCATATCTTCCTCGTGATTTGGTAGGTAACACCTCCAAATGTGCTTCATTTGCAGCTTTTAAAATGGCTTCGGGCAGCTCTTCATCCGATGAATCCATTATTTCTTTAATTTATTTTCAGTTGACGCTTCAACAAACAACTTTGACGTTTTTGTAACAATAACACGCCTTGGTTACCATATAGCAACTATATCAAGCCATACATGTCACAGCCTAGTCTGACTTTTAAAAATATACAGAAGGTATATAAAAATATCTCTATTATTCAAGTTTTCCAAAAAATTAAAATTATAACAAAAAGCAAGAAAAAAAGTAAATTTTATTAAATGGAATAGTTGGAAAATACTAAATTACCTATTGTAACAATAGTTATAACATCCGAGGTAAAAAAACTATACAATAGGTAAGGCCAAATATTCATAATTTTACTTTCCCGCACTAGTGCGGGAAAGTGATTTTTTTCCCGCACTAGTGCGGGAAAGTGACACTTTCAAAACTAAAATGCGTGCGGGAAAGTGGGTAAAAATACACGGTCGTAGAAAAAAAATATTCTTTATAAACATCAGATATCGAAATTTTTCAGTCGTATACTAGTTAGTCCAAAAATATGAATATTGAGCAAGAGTACAGCATCTTTGTTTTTGAAAATATCAAAGTTGATAATAATTATTATCACATATACGTAAAACTGTTGATATATAAATTCAGTTTTATTTTATTTGATTTTTTAAATTTGTTTACTTTAACTTTAAATTTAATTCTAAACAAATTTTTTTTACAACTTCAAAAATCAAGATACCTACCATACCGTGTATACGACTGAAAAAATGTTAATATTTGATGGTTGTATTTTAGGTTTTAAAACATGCAGAGATTTTCATAAAAAATAATTTTTTTATGAAATGTAAGATAAACTTTTCCCATTTGTATAAAATGTTTTGGGACACATTGTATACCTATGTATAATTAAGGCCTCGTATAATTGAGGAAAAGTAAAAATGGATATTTAAAAAACAATTATTACACTAGAGATTGAAATAAATGTGTTCTTACCAAGCTTGTGCCAAATGGAACCTACATCCTATAATTTTGGTGTGTGAAAAAATGGTTGTAACAGCAGAATGTATTCCTTTTTCGAAATCAACGACTATGGTGTCGGGGCGCCAAACGAATCCAAATTTGCTACATTGATCAATTAAAATTTAAAGCAATTTCACATAAGGTGATCTCATTTTGTTCTTTAATAAACAATATACAACTGGAACATATGTATCATTTACATAATACATGCAAACAAAATAATTGAAAAAAATATTTTGGACAATTTCGAAAGTTCCATCCATATAAAATTTTGTTTGAATAAATTCTATATTGCTCTTACAAGAAAAAACAATAAAAATTGTTCGTCCTTAATTATTATTTTTATATCTAATAAATTCAAAGTAATTTGAACGTCTGCAGAAGATTTTGGCAATTTAGGGAATAATTTACGTTTTTTTCTTCCAAAGTTATTTCGAATGTATTTCATGTCTTTACTTGTAAGAGTATTCAAACACTGTTTTTGAGAGTTTATTTCCCTGTGGATAATTTTGGCAGGTCTGTCGCACATCCAGTCTTCGGTTTTTCGCTTTACTTGGTTACTCACTTTTTGTCTGTTTAATATAACTTGATCTAACATTTCATGCTCATGGTCACCACTTTTCTTTAAAAAAATTAAATTTTTTTCATCTCCTAGTGTGTATAATTTTGCACGACCAGTTTTCGTGACACAACACCAACAAGTTTCATCTGTACTTTTTAAAATACCATATTTGTAAAACTTATAATTTTCTAACAAAATTAAAAGTTTTTCTTTTTTACTTGTTATCACATGAAGATCCATATTAATAAAAATACACAAAGAGGCACTAAAGTAATAATGAATAATATTACGAAAAATTCATAAATATATACTTATTAAGGCCTCATCTTAATAATCGATTAAATTGTTATTTATTAAGCTATTAAATAATTGAAAGTAAATAAATATAATAATCCTTTTAGGCTAAAGACACACATGACTGTTTTCGCCGAGTCGGCCGCCGACTCGGCCCCCGCCTCGACCCCCGCCTCGGCGGATGCTGTAATGTAAATAAATGGAGTTGTTCACACTATACTGCACTGCGAGAAAGCGACGCTACATCGCCGCGCGTACCGTCGTTCGTCTCAAATGCATTACTTTTTTGTGAAACGCTTCGTGTGTTTTGGCAGAGGCGGCCAGCCAAGTCGGCGGCCGATTCGGCGGAAACAGCCGTGTGTGTCTTTAGCCTTAATTGGTGACCGCATCGGGCGCCTGAGGGAGGACACTCGAATTCCCGTCAAGAACAATTTTAACCATAATCCGTTCCTAGAATTCCCGACAATCAGTTGAAGCTTGAGATAATCCACTACTCGAGTTCCCGTAAGGGACGAATTTAATTAGGTAGGTAGGTAGGTAGGTACTTACCTCAGGTGCCCGATGCGGCCAGCAATTAAAAGGATTATTATATTTATTTACTTTCAATTATTTAATAGCTTAATAAATAACAATTAAATCGATTATTAAGATGAGGCCTCAATAAGTATATATTTAGGAATTTTTCGCAATATTATTCATTATTACTTTAGTGCCTCTTTGTGATTTTTATTAATATGGATCTTCATGTGATAACAAATGAAAAAGGAAAACCTTTAATTTTGTTAGAAAATTATAAGTTTTACAAATATCGTATTTTAAAAAGTACAGATAAAACTTGTTGGTGTATCACGAAAACTTGTCGTGCAAAATTATACACACTAGGAGATGAAAAAAATTTAATTTTTTCAAAGAAAAGTGGTGACCATGAGCATGAAATGTTAGATCAAGGTGTATTAAACAGACAAAAATTGAGTAACCAAGTAAAGCGAAAAGCCTCTACAATACTCATTGGAGAAAGTTAATAGAGGTTTTAATTAGTCAAACTAAATAAATTATATAAAAAAATAGAAAGGTCGTTGAGAAAAAGTACCGTGTGTACTAACAAAATATTTTTTCTTATAGGTATAGAAAAATACTTCAACTTGGCCTATCAAAAGAATATCGAAATCCTGTCTGTGAGATAGGAAAATGGTTACACCATATATTTGGACTTACATTTTTACATCCAGATGAAGTAGGAGATGCATTTGCTTTTGATTTTGCAGAAGATATGCCTCAAAATGAAAAAGTGGTTCAATTCGCGGACTATTTAACCGATAATTATATAAGTCAAGATTCAAGTTTTCCCCCTAATATTTGGGCAGAATGTTCTGCAGACATTACTAGAACTACGAACTGTTGTGAAAGTTTTCATTCGAAATTTAAACATTATTGTGTGGCTTATCATCCAAATATACACGTGTTTCTTGAGGTGTTGAAAAGAATCCAAACAGATACTTATATTAAAATAAATGGTAGCGATAAAAAAGAAAAACGTTTAATAAAAGAAGATGTTTTAAAAATCCAAAATTTCATTACTGCCAAAATTTCACAATATCAGTGTAAAGAGATTAGCCGCTATGATTTTTTAAAATGTGTAGCATATAAATTTAGTGTACATTTAATTAAATAAATATGATGCAACTTCAAAAATTATGTAGTTTTAATTATTACTAACCGCTAACGGGAATTCGAGTTAAGGATTAAGGATAAGTTTGAACCCTGCCGGGAACTCGTGTGCAGTATTAAGAGACAAAACTTGAAACGCAGGTAAAAGGTTTTATGCTGACGGGAACTCGAGCTGCCCGGCCTGAGGTAGGTACCTACCTACCTAATTAAATTCGTCCCTTACGGGAACTCGAGCTTGAGTAGTCGATTATCTCAAGCTTCAACTGCTTGTCGGGAATTCTAAGAACGGATTACGGTTAAAATTGTATTTGACGGGAATTCGAGTGTCCTCTATTAGGTTTCTCAATTTTTTTTTTTATTGTAATTATTATTGTCAACAATAGTTGGCTTGTCATTAATATATTTGATAGTTTTACTGGTTTCACCATTCTCAATGAGAGTTTGTAATTCAATTTTAATCTTTTTTAAGTATTCTCGCTGAGCATTTGTCTGGTCAGAATAAATTTTCACACTAGTTCCCCGAACTAGATTTTTATTTTTTAAAATCAGTTTAACATTTTCTGGTGAAAGCAAAATAACTTTATCCGACACTTTATCTGGAGGTAAAAAGATCGAGGCAAGTAATCGAGGAAATCGATAGGAAATTGATTGAAAAAACATGAAAAGAATTGCATTTTAACAAGAAAAAGTCCAACTTTATTGGACATTCATCTAAATAAACTTCCTTTGAATAATTGATTAAGTTTTCAATTTTTAAATTAGGCTAAATGCCTTAAAGATATAAATTTCGGCAAGTGACCCAAAACGCCCTAGGTCGTTATTATAACAGCCAATATGACACGCTCGCGTTTCCCAAAACTTTGATAATATGCAGACAACAATGAAAATCTCTTCAACGCGCTCCGAGAGTACGTGCATAGTTTAGCGGCGGCGGCGATAGTTTTTTGTTCCAGAGCAAAAATTTCGGTCGACGAGGCGTGCCAAGCCGAAGCACTTGTTCGCCCCGTTCGAGAAGAAACTTTCCGAATTTGTATAACGACTTTATAATTGTCGGCAACGACGCGTTGTCGTTAATTGGAAATTCCGCAAAAGTTTCGAATTAACACGTTCATTAGCGGATCTTTAACTTGTGAGCGTACATATATGTGGGTTGGTTTTCCAATTAGGAATTGGGGCGTCGCTTCTATCACGCCGAATTGTAATTTCGACTCGTCGGTTAACTAGGCCAATATTTATTTTAAATGTTTTGGGTAACTATTATGTTGAAATTAAACTCTTTTGACTTTACGTTATATACACCGTGTCCCACGTAAGGCGGGCATTACAACTTTATGGAGAATAAATTAATTTGTATTTTCGCCATTTTCTGAGTATACATAATCGAATATGCTCTTTTGAATTAAAATAAAATGAACTCTGTGCAACAATATCCGGAACCTGAAGAAATCGCGAAAGCGCCCATCAGACATATTCTTGAATTCATCAAGAAAATCAATCTGATGGGATAGAAACTGTGAGGGGTACAATAATCCTAGAGCTTCAGTACAAGTGGGCTTTGAACCACGCCCTAATTCAGATGATGATGTGCAACTTCCGGTTATACCGGAAGTGACCACTAACTTCGTTATTTTAAAGGGAATACCCCATATTTTTTTTTAATTTTAGATTCAGCATGAAATTCTGTAAACAACGATACCCCATTTGTCTATTCTAGTTATAGCGGATTTGGCGTTATTCAATTTTTTTCTACATTTTTAGTCGCCGGTAGACATTTTCTTAAAGTCGTCTATCTCAGGTAATATATCTATCAGATACTTAAAATTTTAACCAGAGGTAGTAGATGGGATGTACTTCTTGAGAATATTTAGTTATTCATTATTTGTTGTACGGGGTGTTTGCAAATTATTTTTAAAAATGAAATTTTTTAAACATAAAAAACTTTTTTATTTTAAAGGGAACACCCTATATATTTTTTAAATTTAGGATTCAGCATGAAATTCTGTAAACAATGATACCATATTTGCCTATTCTAATTATAGCGGATTTGGCGTTATTCATTTTTTTTTAATTTTTAGTCGTCGCGCCGGTAGGCATTTTCTTAAAGTTGACTGTCTCAGGTACTATTTCTGTTGGATACTTGAAATTTTAGCCAGAAGTAGTAGATGGGATGTACTTTTAAAAACATTTACAGTTTTCTGCAACAAAATATGTCGTTTAAAAAGTTTAAATTTTTTTTAATGATAAGGTACATACTAACTAAAAACAATTTTTATTAAAAGCACATGGTTTAAAAAAATCATTTTATCAAATGTTCAAAATGCCCCCCGTTAGCTTCTAAACATTTTAACAATCTTTTTTCAACATGATTAGTTGTTGCTTTACGAATCATTTCACCATCTAACTCGTTAAAGGCATTCCGAACTCTTTGCTCTAATTCTTCTTTAGTATTAATTTGAGTAGAGTACACTAAATTTTTAATATGACCCCATAAAAAAAATCAACAGGAGTTAGATCTGGCGATCTTGCAGGCCAAAGCCAAGGACCATTTGGACCTATCCATCGGTCTTCAAAGAGTGCTGTAATTTCTTGATTTACATAGTATGTTGAATGTGCTGGGGCACCATCCAACTGGTACCAAAAATTATTATTTGGTAGCTGGTTTAAAATGTCGGCAACTACTTCTCTAAGAATTCTAATGTATCTTTCTGAGGTCAGTCTGTCATTATAAATGTAATAAAAAGCTCTTCCAAAACCGATCACTGCAAACACATTAAAACTAAATTCGTACTGAAATTGTGCTTCACGATAAAAATGTGGATTTTCGTTTGCCCAGAAATGACATTGCTTGCGATTGATGATCCCTTTACGTGTAAATTTCGACTCGTCTGACCACAAAATTTTGTTTAAAATCTCGGGATCTTCTTGAATTCGTACCAATAACCATTCGCATAATTCAGTTCGTCTTATTTGATCACCATCTCGCAACTCATGAACTTTTCTTTGTGCATAGGGGTGCCATTTATTTAGTGCTAAAATTCGTTGTATTGACCCTCGACTAATATTTAAATTATCTTGAGCCATTCTAATGGAGGCGTGAGGATACGCAGTAAAATACCCTAATACGTTAATTAGATTAACTTCTTCATCTCGGACATAATGTTGACAGTTTCTTCCCGGGTTTTGTTTACAATTATTCAAAAAGTTAGCTTCGATTCTATCAAATTTCTGTCTGTTCATTGGTGGTAAATGAGGGTATCGTTCATTAAACATGCGTCAGGTTCTACTTTTGATTCGATTACATTCTCCATGAATGTAAAATAAATTAAGAATATCTTGGTTGGTATATTCTTCAATATTTTCCATATTTTCCATATTTTGAACGCAAAAAATACACAACTTAAATACATAGAAATATGACAATTCAGTTTGTTGACAGATTGTTGTTTAGCATATTTCCACGGCATACTAAGATAAAAAATTAAAATGTAAAACTATACTATATTATGTAGGTGCATGTGTAAAATTTAAATTTAAATTTTCTTAAAATTGGCGAGAGATAATTATAGGGAATTAATAGTGCAAATGAAGATCAATGAAGAATAATTTTCTGAACAAAATGAAATAAAAATATACAGGATTTTCCATTTAAAATAAAAAAAAATTTCATGTTTAAAATATTTATTTTTTAAAATAATTTCCAAACACACAGTCGAACAAACGATGTACAAGTAAATTTAAAAAAGCAAATGTCTGCCGGCATATAAAAGTTTATAAAAAACTGAATAACGCCAAATACACTATAATTAGAATAGGCGAATGGGGTATCATTGTTTACAGAATTTCATGCTAAATCTAAAATTTAAAAAATATATAGGGTGTTCAATTTAAAATAAAAAAGTTTTTTATGTTTAAAAAATTTCATTTTTAAAAATAATTTGCAAACACCCCGTACAACAAATAATGAATAACTAAATATTCTTAAGAAGTACATCCCATCTACTACCTCTGGTTAAAATTTTAAGTATCTGATAGATATAGTACCTGAGATAGACGACTTTAAGAAAATGTCTACCGGCGACTAAAAATGTAGAAAAAAATTGAATAACGCCAAATCCGCTATAACTAGAATAGGCAAATGGGGTATCGTTGTTTACAGAATTTCATGCTGAATCTAAAATTAAAAAAAAATATGGGGTATTCCCTTTAAAATAACGAAGTTAGTGGTCACTTCCGGTATAACCGAAAGTTGCACAGAGTTCATTTTATTTTAATTCAAAAGAGCATATTCGATTATGTATACTCAGAAAATGGTGAAAATACAAATTAATTTATTCTCCATAAAGTTGTAATGCCCGCCTTACGTGGGACACGGTGTATATTTAAGTCGTAATGACATTGATTATCCAAAGCCAGGTACATAGTATATAACGTGTAACAGTTTAATTTTTGGAAGACCCATTCTACTAAAAATTTTCCTTAGAAGGTAAATTGTTTTAGCTGTGGTTGGAATGCACTGCATCATCATTATTTCTGGCCATTTTGACTTGGCATCAACAACAAGAAGGAAATGGTGATTTAAGAATGGGCCAGCAAAATCAATATGTACCCGTTGCCAATTTCGTTCTGGTATTTCCCAACGGTGTAGTGGAGCCTTAGCTGGATTTTTCTTGACATTGCAACAAGGTAAACAACTTTTTACCATGTTTTCTATATCTGAATCGAATTGGGAATAATGACTCGATTACCTCTGAAAAGAATTCCGTCCTGAAGGGATAATTTTGGATCTCTTATAGTTCCACGAAGTACGTCCAATTTGAGTTTTGATAGTTCCGGATCGTTTTCAATTTCATTTGCTATTTCGAGTGATGTGACTGTGTCTGTACTGATTTTGTGTAGTAATTCAATATTGGAGATATAAGTATCATCTGTGTGATTTTCTGCATCTGGACTTAATTTGAGCGGGTTTCTGGACACGTAGTCTACATTTAAATGATCTTTGGTATTCCGGTATTCAATATTATAGTCGAATCCTGATAAATACTGAGCATAACATATCATCCTGGTAGCCGACAATGTAGGCAATTGTTTTTGTGGATTTAAAATGATAGTACGAGGTTTATTATCAACAATTAATGTAAATTTTCGCCCGTATAAATAATGAAATAGTTTTTTAAAAGACCAATAGATGGACGTGGCTTCTTTATCTAATTGACTATAATTTTGTTGTTCCGTTTTAGTTAAGGATCTAGATATAAATGCTACCGGCCTTTCTGTACCGTCAGCTAAGCGATATGACAAAATTCCAGACAATCCATACGGACTAGCATCAGTTGCTAAGGTAACTCTTTTGAAAGCCTCTTCACAAGCAGTTGTCCATTTAAAAGGAACGTCTTTTCTTAGTTACCGATTCAGTGGATACAGGAGAGTAGAAGCATTCGGTATAAACTTGGTATAATACATAATCAGCCCCAGGAACTGTTGGACTCCCTTAGGTGATTTAGGTCTAGGTGCATTTTGCACCGCATTAATTTTATCGTCGGATTTTTGAAGGCCTCTAGCTGAGATGGTATGACCTAAGTAGCTAATTTCATTCTCAAAAAATCTGCATTTTTCTTTGTTGAGGTGTAAATTATATCTACGCAGTTTTTCTAATACTGTGATTAATCGGCATTTACACTCTTCAACAGTCGAACTCTGAACCAAAATGTCGTCAAAATATACGGTTGTTCCTTTTAAATTTTGGGTGATCTGGTCAATTATCTTAAGAAACTCATTTGGTGCGGTTTTAATTCCGAAAAATAGCCTGTTAGCTAAATACGTTCCTCTATGTGTAGATATAGCCTCGATTTTTGAAGTGGTATCATCAACTGGAATATGGAGATAGGCTTTGAAAATATCTAATGTGCAGAAATATGCGCCATTTTTCATTTTATTGAAAATATCTTCAATTCTAGGAATCGGGTAATGGTTTTCCATAAGTTGGTTATTAACAGTGACCTTGTAATCGGCACAAAGACGTACTTTGCCATTCTTTTTTTTTTAACGATGACCAACGGTGTTCCCCATGCTGAATGGTCGGTTTTAGTTATGATATTTTCCTTTTCTAATGTATCTAATTCTCGTTCAACTTCTTGTTGGAAAGCGTAAGGAACTCGTCGGGGTTTAAGGTAAATTGGTTTAGCATCTGATCGTAATTGAAGTGAACATTGGAAATCTGGAACTTTACCAACTTCAGGACTAAAAACATCTTGAAATTGTTCGAAAATTTTACTAATTACAGTTTGATTTGTGTTGATTAGTGAAATATCATGGACATCAATTTGTAGTGACCGTATCCACCTTCTACCTAAAATAGGACTACCATATTCTGGTACGATGTAAAGATCTGCCATTACGTTTTTATTGTTGTATGAAACAGGGACATTGATAACTCCTAGGGGTTTGAAAATATGTTGAGTGTATGATCTAAAACATACGTTCGTTTTCTGCATAGGAATATTCAAATTGAGGGCTTCGAAATCATTTTTGGAGATTATTGATACTGGACTTCCTGTGTCACATTCAAAACTACAGGGTTTATTTTGAATTTGGACTTGGACATACATTTTTGGTTCAAATACAGATGCAGTAGGTACTAGCATACACATCGATGACTTGATTTATGGAATATTCATCACCAGAAGTTTCAGAATTGTGATCAATATTATTTATTAATTTACTTTGTCTCGTTAAAGATGTTATGCAAACTTTATCTATGTGTCCCTTTTTATGACACCGTTTACATTGTAAATTTTCTGTAGAAAAATAGTTCTGTGTTGAATGATTATTTTTTCCACAATGTAAACATACTCCAATAAGTCCAAGTTCTTTTAAATTAATGTTGTTTCGGTATTTACTTCCCTGTTTATCGACATAATGTTTTTTATTGGAACTGGACGTTTTTTGTTGTACGTGAGAATTTACTGCGTTAATAGTAGCTGGACCAGATGAGGAACTATGATAAACTTCACGATTTTCTTTTCTAGACATTTCAATAGAAATTGCAATTTATTTTGCCTGTTCAAAAGAAATATTTGTTAATTGAAGTATTCTTTCTCGGGTGGTTGCGTCTAATAGTCCTCGAATAAATTGTGCCCTGAGTAACATATCTAGCATGGATTGCGAACAATTAGCATTGTTACATTCTGCCTTGAATTCACAGTCTTTCAATAAGTCCTTAAGTTCAGCAACATAGTCGGCAATAGATTCCCCTAGAGTCTGTATTCTTGAGAAAAACTGATGTTGTTGTGATAAAACATTCTTTTTAGGTGCAAGATGGTTTTTAAGTAGCGTCATGAGTTCTGTGTATGTTTTTGATGCTGGCAAATCTGGGGATGTTAACTTAGATAGAAGTTTGTAATATTTACTACCTAGACAATTAATTAACATCATTACTTTTGCGTCATTTGTATCATTGTCATCCTCAGTTAGACCTTTAAGATTAAAGAAATTATCTAACCTTTGGGAATAACTATTGAAATTTTCATTATTTTCGTCGAAAGGTTCAAAGGAAAGGACTTGTGTTTGCAGAACTTCCTTAACACTCTTACTTGTGCTGGGTCTATTTTGATTTTGAAGTGTGAAGACTAATCCACTGAGCGCTTCTATAAGTGAGGCTAAATTAGTTTTGGCCATTTAGCTGCGTCTCGAGTGTGGTTCTTTCTTGAACTTTCTTAAACTCTTTTGACTTTACGTTATATATATTTAAGTCGTAATGACATTGATTATCCAAAGCCAGGTACATAGTATATAACGTGTAGGCCGTAGCAAGGAATATAGTATACAACAGTAACGTCAAAGCAGCATTTACAGTTACTAGGATCCTGGGGCTTATTCTCTAACCTGCGTTTTTGAAAGCAATCAGCGCGTCTCTCTATAAACTTGACAAACTAATAAAAGTGTAAAGCACAAACGTTTTGGTATTATCTACTTGCTGGGCTATTCGTATTTGAAAAACGTAACCAGTTCTCAGTAATTATTTTCTGTTCGCTGGCTTTGAAACAAACAACATAATGTGTTCTTGATGTGACAACAATATCGTCGCCAAACGTTTCAAGAAGGTGCCTCCGTGGATGGGTAGGTCAAAAGTCGCCATCAATCTGGTCATCAATGCCTCCATAATGAATTGACATTCTACATTACTGTTTTTAGATAAGAAATAATTGATTGCATAGCAGCTTCAACCTCATGAGTGACTCGTTTGCCCGTTTGAGTTGATTCTGAGATATGGTGTAGATCTCTCATACAGCGGAAATGGTTCTGCACATCAGCTGCACATAAATCGTCAACTTACTGAAGACGACGTAATACATTTTGTCCATATTCGTCATTTTGACCTTCCGCGAGTTTCATCACTTTTTCTCTTATGGACAATGTTCTCACAAGATAGATCATATTGCGTTTTGCAGGAGTATGTTTTATCTGTTTCTTATTGTAGTCTGCGGGAACTTCATTTTCGCACAAAAAGTAGTGAATTTTAAAAATAAAGCCCTGTTTTCTTTAAACGCGTCTGTTTGGGAACACTTTGTGTAGCTCTATTCAAATAGGCAGCAATAGATTTTTCTGTAACATAATCCTTCCTGCATTTTATGTGGTCTTCAATTGAACTTTCCCTCTTAAATATTATAACCTTGTCACGTACAGTGGCTGTTTTCAAATCACATCATATTGGTGAAATAAGCGCTAATAGGGAAAATGAAAAAATGATCAGTATATGCATATAATACTGATCCAAATTTTAAATTTCGATGCTCACTTAGCGCAAAATTTGATGCTTCACAACTTTTGTTCTACAAGTGGCTGTTTTCACATCACAACCGTCCAAAAGTGAGTTTCTTGCAGTTTTCACAAAAGTTACTAAATATTGGCTTTTTTCGACTGACGATGACGACTTTATAAATCGGTCTAATTTAAAAGTTAGGCAGGGTTTACGACACAAAATTTTATGTTCTTTAACTTTGAATGGAACGATATTTTCCGTACGTTGCATCGTTTCTATGATAAAAGCGGAAAACCAAGAATACTCCAAAAATTTAAAGAATTTTTCAACCTGAAGCGGCACTGTTACGAGGCAGCAAACTTCAGATTCGTGTTCAGTACTCCAATATAATTCACTTAAGAAACTTTCTACCGCTTTCATGTTACCGAAAAAAATCCATTTGATCAGGCTAGAAGTTGGAACATTCCATTAGAAATTTGTACCTTTACCATAGTAGTAGGTATTAACACTGTATTATCTTCTCTTTCTATGTGTGTCGACGTAGATACAGGTTCCCATTGAGGAGGCTAACTGGCTACTATGGTAGTATTGGTCTGGGATCGTAAACTGTTACATTAGAAGTTTGTACCTTTACCATAGCCGTAGGTAGTAATACTGTATTGTCTTCTCTTCCTATGTGTGTCGACGTAGATACAGGTTCACATTGAGGAGGCTGACTGGCTACTATGATTGTATTGATCTGGGATCCTAAACTGTTAATGGGTCTCTCACTCTAGCATATTCTGCAAACCTTGGCTGTTCTTTTCTGTCTTTATGGAGCATACTGTGATGGGACATACCGCAGGTGCGGCAGCAGAGTGGATTATGGCATTTTTCCTTTAAAGCATGTGTCATACGGTTGTAACAAAGTCTATTGTTTCTGATAAATTAGCTACAGACAATATTCTAAATTTTATGCATTGGTATATGCTATGTAACTGCTTACAAAATTCGCAGTCTTAACTTTTTGACCCCAGTCTGGAGGAACTCATTTGACTTCTTAACGGTACTAGATTTTTCTAGCGATTGGAATCGTCTTTCAATGAACTTCAAAATGTGGTGTCTCATTTGGTTCGGTTAGGCTTTGCTCATAAATTATTTATGGCTTAAAGGCTTTTTAGCGGTTACATCATGTAATAGCTTGATATCATTTGGCGATTCTCGTTTGGATACTGGCAAATCTAACATTCTATCTAATAATATGGATAATACCTGGCGCTTGTTTTCATATCTATTCTGTAGTGTGTTTCAAGCGATCTCAGTAATTTTAGAGAGCTGTATTAACTTGAAAGCTTCACCCATTAACTTGTTTTCAGATATTGCATCTTGGATTAATGTTGTCCTCTTTGATGATGACGATATCTCTAATTTTTAAATTATCTTTCTGAGTTTACCATTTATAACGTTGCTTAAGTCTTAAGAGATACTCCATAGACCAGGCTTTCCAGATATCTGTCTTAATTTTTTGAACGAGTCGCCATCTTTGTGATAGATTGGTGTTGATGCTGGTATCAATTGGATTCGGTGGTGCAATTCATTCTCTACCAATCAGAAAATGACCTGAAGTTAACATAATCGTGTCATTTATATTTTCACTTAGGGGACATAACGGCCTTGAATTAAGAGAAGCCTCAATTTGATGTGTCAGCGTAGTTAGTTCTCTTGAGATGGTATTTCATGGACTTAACTCCTGCTTCCCATAAGCCTCCGATAAAGTGCCAGTAAATTTCTGGTCCTCATCATGGTTTGTATTTCTGATTGTTTGACCATATTGGTAATTTCCCTTTATAAATGCTGTACCATTATCGCTATACATGTGGGAGCAGGGACCTCGCCTAGCTATAAATATTTTAAACGCTGCGAGAAATGTGTCAGTAGACATATCACTTACTACCTCAAGATGGATTGCCTTGGTAGATAGACATACGAAAACTGCGATGTACCCCTTATAGGATTTGTGTCTTCTTCCTTTAGTGGCTCACAAGCGAGTTGGACCTGCGTAGTATACTTCGGTGTGAGTAAATGGTGGGTTTGGTGATACTCTGTGATAAGGTAGCTCCCCCATCTGTTGGTGTGCAGCCTGTGCCTTATATCGTGAACATGTGGTGCATTTATGAATGCTAGACTTGATGGCTTTCTTGCAATTGACAATCCAATATCTTTGCCTTAGATAGGCTAATGTTGCTTGGTTTCCTACATGTAATATTCATTGGTGAGCATTTCTAATGATGAAAATGGCAAGGTGACTATGGTATGGAATGATTGCGGGGTGTTTTCTAGTATACGATAGTTGAGAATGTTCCAGTCTACCCCCAACTCAGTAATTCCTACATTATCTATGAACGGGTTGAGAGTCAATAGTTTGCTGTGGTTATGTACAAATTTACTTTTCAGCAAGGATTGGAAGTTTTGTTTTAATTCTTCAGATTGTGCTAGTTTTATGATTTGCATCAGTGTACTGAGTGACTCTTCATACTTTAACGGACCCTTGTAGGTGCCATCTTCCAAAAATCTTTTGCAATATGATAGGACTCGTATCATTCGTGCTGGCTTGAAAATCTGCACCATATCCCATTGCTATATTTAACATTGGTATGATAACATATTTTGAAACCATTCAGGACCTTTTCACCATAAGATGCGATTTGACAGTTTTACTGGATTAATTCCTCTTGATATACAATTAGCAGTATTTTCATTAGATTTTACATGACTCCAGTAGTACGGTGCGGTGGAACTAGTTTTTGTATTTCAGATGCTCTATTTGCTACGAAGGTCTTTCATCTTAAAGGGTCTTCTCTATTCCATCCTAATGCAATCATCGAATCCGTCCAGGCATACATAGAGACATCGTTTAATTGGAGTGTCTGCTCAACTTTATGCAGTAAGTTACATAGCAGAACAGTGAAACACAGTTCAAGTCGAGGCAGGGTTGTTTTTGTTCTTGCCAGAGCAACTTTGGATTTGGCCTGTACCAACGATATGTATACTTTCCCACGTAAACATTAAATATTTGTTGAGTTCACTTTCTCAACAGGACCACCTCTAAGGTATCCCCTTACTAACAAAAAAAGAAATCGGACAAGGTGGTAAAGAATTACCGCTAACTATACATAAAAAATGAATTTTCTCATGAACCCAATTAGTAGATTTTGACCAAATTTATATGGGACCACCCCTAAAGTACCCCCTTTCTAACAAAAGAAGAATCATTGAAATCGGCAACAGCCCA